GAGGAGGTGGGGGGGCTTTCTGGGTTTCACTTCTCCCATATGTAAAATGAGCAGAGTAATGGTACCAAGTCAGAGGGTTGTTAGGGAGATGAAATTCGTACACATAAGGCTATTAGAAGAGTGCCAGACCAACCGTAAGCTCTAAATGAGAGCGGCATTCTGGAAGAGGAATCGTGGGGTGCACGTCCAATCTTCGCCCCTGGGAGGCAGCAGAGTGTTCGGGCCCAGCGCGAGTGCTCCCTACCGGGTCCACACCGGGGCCACGTGAGCCCCGAGTCTGGCACAGGGCCAGCACGCCGAGACCTTGCCTCTGCGCGTGCTCTCGGCTCCAAGCACCCTCCCCGCTCCCTTCTGCCAGGGGCTCAAGCAGCGCCTGCCTCTAGAGCTGAGTGGCCGCCTGGCTTTACTCCAGGATAGTGCCAGGACCCTGGAAAAGAAAGGATGGGAATCATGTGTATGTGGAGGGGGATGGGGAGCGATGAGGAAATCCAGAGACTCGGGGAGCCCCTTCCTCGTGGTCTTTGCAGATCTTCCCTTAGTTCCTCAGGTAGGCCAACCATAGTGAAGGGTCCTAACCGCTTAAGGTTCAAGACAGCCTTTGGGCTCCAAAAATGTCCCGTGCTTCACTTAACTCATTTTTTCCCCCCCATTTAAAAACTTTTAAATATTTATAAAATACATAACCACGGTAAAAAAAAAAAATTTTTTTTAAAAATCCAGTCAGTACAAGTACACACACACACATTCTCTGAAAAGTCTCCCATCATCTCTTGCTTGGAAAAAGTGTCTTTTCACCGGTCTCTCTGCCTTTGGTCTCACCAATCCCTACCTTCCCAACCGCTGTAGCCAGAGGGTTCTAAGGGGCAAACCTGACAAGTTAAAACGTTTCAGTGGCTTTTTACCACTCAGAACAAATGCAGACTGTTTTCCCTCATGATCTGACTCTGGACACCCCACTCAGCTCCTCTCCTTCCCAGTCTCCACATGGCTGCAGCCATATTCTCAGGTTATCCAGGCTATTCTCTATCTTGCCATCACGCCCTTCCCACTCCAGCCCCCGTGCCTGGCCAAGTCCTTCTTACGCTGCACCTGTACCAATGTCCCCATCCCTATTTGGCACTCCCACAACCTCCTGTGCAGCCCTCATTACAGCTGATGACACTGAAACTGTTTTCGAGACAGGGAAGTGTTTTGGGAAGGGTTTTTTATTTGATTCAACACCCAACCTCCTCTCCTGGCACGGAAAAGTCACCCAGTGAGTGTTAGTTGCAGGAATGAATGAATAAATGATCACACCTAACACTTCCATAGTGCTAATTCCACTCCTGGCATAGTTTCAGGCAAATTTCATATATAAATTCACGTAGCCACACAACCCCAAGGTTGCTCACCCTCATTTTACCAACACTGAAATTAAAGGATTGAGCGGTTTAAGTAAATTGCCCCAGATAGTAAGTGGCTGAGCTGGGGTTTGAACCAGGCAGTCTGATTTCCGATGAACGAATCAAGAGCTGAGGAGAAAGCCAGACCTCAGGGAAGGAATCCAGGTAGGGTTTGTCTGTGAGCTGATTAAGAATCTTCTCACCCTCTCCCGCTTCTCTCCCGGGGAGCCCATTTTATATACTAGGAGACAGAGGGCCACGGAGACCAGATAAATCGGGCAGCCCTGGGGAGGGAGTCGTGGAGCTTATTTGGGAGTTCGGGAGCAGGGACACAGGAGCAGCGGGCGCCCGGGCTGCGAGTACTCCGCTCCAAACTACAACTCCCAGGAGGCACCGGGTGCCCACCGTCCGCGCAGCGTCACAGAGGCTTGGGCTTGGGCAGCTCGGCCGGCCCGGCCCGTCGACAGTTGGGCCGTTCCGTTCAGACCCCGGCCCTGGCTGGGGCCCCGCGGTAAGTGGGACAGCCGTTGCCCCTGCCGGCCGAGGCTGCGCAGCGCATGCCCGCAACCTGCGCCCTTGTGCTGGACCGCGGGAGCGCGCGGCACGCGGCTTGGCATCTACCATACGGGGTGGGGGACCCGGCTGAACCAAGTGTCTCGCGGAGGGGGAGCCCAGACGGGGACTCCGGGTCGCCGCTTCGCCGCAGCCGGCTTCGGGCGCTCAGTGCCCTGCGCCGCACGTACGCAGGCCAAGCTGGGGAGTGGTTAAGGCAGGAGGGCCGGGTGTCG